ATCCTGCCTGACTAACCTGGTCTCTTTCTGTGACCAGGTAACAAAGAGCTTAGATGGGAAGGAGAAAGTTGATGTCATCTTCTTGGACTTCCAGAAGGCCTTCGACACAGTGTGGGATAGCTAAGGTAGCATCTTCATAGAAAGAGGGTCGCTGGGGCTTTGGTGAGGCCAAACCTGTGCTGCGACCTCATACAGCGTCAAACAGGGAGAAGGCAAGGAGGACCGGGGACTAAGCTGGTCGGGTGAGCACCACGGCAGGGGCAGACCAGGTGGGGAGGGAATATTACGCCACCACCGAGGAACCGGACCCACAGAAGAAGAACACATTAGAGGTGGCGTGAGGCCAGGGTGCAGGGGTGGCGGAGCCCCGTGATGTGACCGCCGAGGGACCTGGGCCATGGAGTGTACCACGAACCGACCTTGACACTGTAGAACATCAAGTCGTGGCGGGCGAGAACAAGGTTGGGGACTTGGGCGAGAGAGAGCTGCTCCGATACCATAGCGGTCCCAAGAGGGTAGTGTCATCTACCTACAGGACTAGAACCACCCGAGAACGGGGAATCGCAACCCAGCGGTCACAACCCACATGAAGCAAGGGAAACCTGTAGAATCCAAAACCCACATGAAGCAAGGGGAACCTGTAGAATCCAATCTACCTATTCTAGCATTAACTAAAATAGGGGTGCACTGATTAAAAAAAAAAGTTTGGGCCCATACCAATGCCCGATTATTGACCAGTCATATCGGCCAATACCAATCTGATTGCTGATAAACAGCCCAGCAGCTTGATGAAGGGTGACAGGACTGGGAGGGGGCTATGGCAAATCTTGGTGTGGCTCCAGCCCACGCTGCCTGGAAGAGGCTGGAGCAGCTCCAGCCCCAAGCATGCAACAGCTGCTCTCCCTCACCCCATTCACAGATCTGGGGGCACATGTCCACCCACAGGGGTACATGCAGCAGTGTGGACCACCCCCCTACCTGCACCCCAGGATAAGCTGCAGGCTATGTCCTGTGCCCTGCCCCACTCTGGCTGGGAAGTGCCTGGCCCTGCCCCACTCCCTCCTGCACTGCAGGAGCCTCTATCCCCTCCCTCACTGCCCCACTCCCTCCCTCCCCTTCCCCCCAACAGACTTACCGGCTGGATGCGGCTCTCCAAGCTGCCAGGCTGCACTCCTAGCATCATGCATGCTGTGTCTGCACATGGCATTATTATTACGAGAAGTTAGTTTTACTTCCTGCCCTTTGGGCAAGGGGCTGGACTCGATGTCATCTTCTGAGATCCCTTCCAGCCTTAATGTCTATGAAATCTATGAAAAATGCTACTTAACATCTTAACTAAGTGACCTATCCTACCTAGCCAGCATGGAAATTGCTTCTGCGGGCCTATTTAATTGTGTTTGTGTATAGATGTGTGTAATATTTTACAGCCAAGAAAAGCCAATTGCCGATAATGTCCATTTTTCTTTTATCAGTGCCAATACAATATGGACTGATGTATCAATGCACCTCTAACTAAAATACGAAAGTAGCTATGCACTGAAATTGTTCAGACAAGTTTCACAGCTAAGTAGTAGTTAAACAGGAAGAATTGAGAAGTTAATCTGCTGATGAAATGTAGGTGGCAAAGCCCCTGTAACTATTAGCATCTGCAATTACTTCCTAGGTGGCTTTCGTTCCCGCAAACTAAAATATCTGCAAGCGTAAGAGTGCACTGATTCTCATAGGCAGATGTATGTTAAATCAATGGTTTATTTGGCTTCCTGCAGCCATACTTAAAAGTTTTCTAAACAGGAATGCTTTACATGAGAATATATGACAGGCATTAGTATTTCAAAGATATTTTATCATTTTAAAAAGTTTATATGTTTCACTCAAAAATATAAACCATACTTAACTTATTCAATTGATTATTTTGCATATTCCTGGTAGACAATACACAAAAATCAAATGTGTTGAAGATTAAAACTAGTGTGGATAGTTAATGGGTAAACTGAGATGCATACAGATCTTTAATACCTGTTTTCCAAGCAAGTACTTGCTTTATTAAATACTGATTTAAAAAAAAAAAAATCAAATATTTATTCAGCATTAATATTTGCAGCATTTCTAAAAGTCTTCCAATACTGTCTCCTAGGAAATCTATATATAAACACATGGCAAGTTGTTTCATTTCCAAGTAACAGACCCACACTGGCTAACATACATCAGATACTTTATTCCTTTATAAGTTTGTAATAGAACTACAGGTAATGCAAACTTATTACACTCTCTAGAAAAAAAGTTTGTCAAGGCATATAGTTTTCTTTTAGACAATTTTCAGTCTCTAGAAAACAATTTGTATTTTGCATGTTGCATTTGAAAGTGATAGTTTTGCTTAGGAACCAAAACTAAGTCTTAGCCAATGTACATAAAAGTATTTCAAGTGCTGTCTTGTATCAACACACACCAGTATGAAAAAGTTTTTGTCATCTTGCTTCACATTTCAAAGTTATGCTCAGCTAGGGTTTGGAGGTCATTAGTAATTGACAAATTAATGTATGAAGAGTAAAAACCACAGCAATTCAATAGAATCAATGAGTTTCAAATACTTGATATAAAAGGTAATGGAAATGCTTGCATCTTGCCCATATTATTTTCTCCACACTATTAAAAGGCATTTGTTTAGAAGAATAAAGGGCTTTGGTATTACCTGGTCTCAAAGAAGGATTAATCAGCATTTTTTCCAGTTTAGGATTTATTGTTAAACCTGCAAAAAATTATTCTAAACCACTAAAATATGCTTAAAACTATCAACCTAACATTGCAATATTTGTACCTTCATAGTATATTTGTGAATGTCATAAGTTAATTCAGAAAAAGCACAAGCGTTTTCTTGTTACCTGCAAAATGCTACCTGTCTGATCCTGATGCTCCACTCAGGATCAGGCCCTAAGTTAAGATCCTTTTAGAAGTCTGGAACCTATTCAAGAAAGTTCAAGGAGTCTGAAATTTTGCCAAGTAGCAAAGGAAACATCCACTTCTTTGTATACCCAACAAATACTTCCCTGGAATAACTATACTGAAACTTATGTTAATGCTTAGCTTTGTGCGTATTTACAGTAACCCCAGAAAATAGGGGATGATGGAAAAATTTCTGGCATGATGTAAAGTAACATATACATAACAAATGCATTAATTTCTAATGCAATTAACAATTTTGTCACATTTAATCAACAGACTATGTCAATTAAGATTATTGTCTTCATGAATTAAGACCATCTTATAGTTATTGAAGTGGCACATATTAAACTGGAAATAACTTTCATCACCTCCATTTAATAATGCAATAAATTACAAAAAAGACAAACAAGGAAAAGAGCATCATGTAGCATAACAGTTTTGTCTGGCTCCCTCTGGAGAGCATTTTCAGTCTGCCCATAGTTGCACCCAGAAATCCACCAGTAGAATCAAAGTCAGAATCCTGCATAAAGAGAGGGCATTCAGAATTATTGGTAATACAGTGGTATCAAACACGGGGCATGTAGAAGAGTCATCTGGCCTGCATGGCTTACAGTAGAGCTGAGAATTTGGGGGTGGGACCCACCATCAAGATCTAGTGCATGGAGCCCAGCTGGGGATGTGTGTCAGTAGGGGGCGGAAAAGGCAAACAACAGTTAAGCTAACCCCTATAGCCCCCGATGCAGCCTGTCCCACCAGTACCATCACATGCAGATTCAGTCTAAAGAGTGCTGTGGCCTGCAAGGAGCCTCATGGCCCACTTCGGACCCATGGGGCCAGGTGAATTAGACATCCCTACTCTAAGAATATACGGTCACCCTAAAATGGGTTTTGTACAGTTTTTCTTGCACTACGTTTTTTCTTATAACAGAATGTAAAACAGTTTCCTGTACTGAGGTTGATTTAAATATCTCCTTCAGGTCCATTCCATATACAGTTACACACTTTCAAGTATAAGCAAGATTTAAACAATAAGGTTTAAACCTTATTGGTTTGGTTTTGTTCTGCCATTTTAGCCAGTTCCAGAACTGAGCTCTCTCCCGTGCTAGTTTTTCAAGACAATGTTTTAAATCCTATGGCATGCTTGCTTTAGTTGAGAAGAAACAGCGAGCAGATCTGTGCCCTAGTAACCTTGACTACTACTTCAGTACAAAAATTCGTAAGACAGCACTGCTGCTTAGAGTAGCAGCATCTTATGATCATGTTTTGACTAGGACTATATTAATATTTTTAATGCAAGCATATTCACTATGCTAGCCTAAGAAATGTAATTTTTAACACTTCTTTCTTCCTTTAAAAAATAATTAAAGATTAGTCATTACACACTTACCATTTCTGTTAACATTTTATTTTGATGTTTAACTTCTGTGCCAATTTCAATGGAAAGCTATTACAAATAATGAAAATTTGCATTAGTCTTTTATAGTTCATAGTATTACTAGACTGGACTATTTAACACCATGCAAAGAAATTCTGGAAATATCTAGCACCTCACTGTATGTTTCAATTCAGTATTAGAGAAATACTCTCAATACTTTGAAAAGATTAGAAATCAGAGTTCAAGGAAAGCATCTCTGAAGTTCCATTTCTGCACAAGTACAATAAAATAATGCCCTAAATCCTGCCCATGTTACTTTCCCCGGTGCCAAGCAGTAGAATCGTGCAGAATTTTGACAGGTGTTTCATTTTGAAGCTGTTTTGACTCGTTTTGAGCTCAAAACAGTGAAATTGAAATGAAATGAGAGCACTCGAAACCTTTCGAAAGTTTTGAAACGTTTTGAGTTTCAAAGCTGGCTTGCTTCCAGCTAAACAGAAATTAAGGAGAGGGAGGGGGAAGACGGGGTAAGGACTGCTCCGATATTGACATCTAGCTCCTGGTTTGATTCCCCAGCTTTCTGATCATTTCTCCACCTCTTCCTGGGGGGGTGCAGGCCCCCGATCTGCGTGCAGGGTTTTAGCAGGCTGCTGCTTCAGGCTGGAGCCAGCGGCAGCCACTTGGTGCTGCCGATGGCCCCAGCCTGCACTGGCAGCCTACTAAAACCCAGCGCACAGATCCAGGGGCCCGTGCCCCCAAGCAAGAGCTGGGCAAATGATCAGAGAGCTGGGAAATCGAGCCAGGGGCCAGGGAACTGAACCGGGCGGGGGGGGAAGAGGCAAGTTGTGAGGGGTTCCACCAATCCACAGGCCCCCTTCACCTTCCCAGCCATGGTCTCTTCTATTGTATCACATCATGAACTGCCTTTGTATTTCAGACTGCACAGCCTAGAGTGGGTGCAGGATGTGAAAACTAGAGGAGGGAGGGAAACGGAATGGAGAAGTGGCAGCTGGATGGGAGCCTGAGGTCTGCAAATAAATCCCTTGCAGGTAGCATAAGACCTGTGGGTTCCTAGATGTATGAAGAGCTGTCCAAATGAATGCACTGTGCTATTAGCTCAGCAATATTTTTATATGAAAGTAAAAGCTTAGAATGTAAGTTGAATGCAACTACACTACACTATAAGATTGAATTTGATTAATATTATGCCACTAAAGTTATGTACTCACTGATTTTATGGCAGTGACTTTTGTACGCAGGCTTTCAGTTAGCTTTTCATTTTCTTCTTCATACACACTATATCCACTGTTGGTATAGCCATAGTTACCAGGAGCTGCTCCTTCACCTAGAAATAACAATACTCAGGTTTACAGCATGCTGAACAAAAAAAAGAATTAAATACACTGCACTGGATGGTAAACAGTCAAACTATGAAGATTACTGACTTTTGAATATCTGTAGCCTATTCTATTAATATAGGTTTTATTTAATGCGTTTCCCCCCACCTTTTTTTTTTGTTTGCTTTTGGAGAGAGAAAGACTACTAGGCAATCAAAATACTGTGTTAACCAGATTTTTAACTCATGTTCCTGTACCACCAGAAGACCACCTTTGGCACATCATCTGCTCTTGGGTGAATGAGCTTCAGCATTGCTCTCCATACAACAAAGAGCCACACCACTGACCAGCACTGAAGGGTCAGTGCCCGATACACCTCTAATAAAGATGTGCTCCAAGTAGCACTTGAACAGCAGTATTGTAAGCACTAAAAGCTCCAGTCACGTTGTAAAATAAAAGTTGCCGAGCACTTCAAGTCTAAGACTCAATGAAAGACAGATAATACAAAAAGTCAGAACTGGTAAAAAGAGAAGGAAAGTAAAAAAAAGAAACAGAAATATGCAAACCTTTATGGTACCAATTATATACATTTCTTTCAGGTACCAATTTAGCTATGAGAAGCAAAAAAGAGTACATTCTAAATATCTGAATGCCCTTCGCATGGTAAATTCTCACTGTGTAATGGAGAGCTAGGTAAGGCACAGGATGGCTGGGGGCCAACGGAGAAAACTTCAGGTTTCAACCTATTAAAAAGGCTAATTATTCCAGATGTATAATATAAATGATATAGCAAAGTCTAACAACCTTACAAGAAAGCCAGACATTTTTGATGCCATCATAGGAGATGCAGTCAGAATGGTTGTATACTCTCCTTTATTTACCCTTCTAGTAGCGTTAACAAAAAGTGTTATTCAAGAAGAGTCTCCCAGTGGGCTTTATCGAGTCACAGCCTCTTTTTTGCATGCTAACACTCCATTTTCAATGTAGCACAAAACAAGCACTTGATGCAATTCAGTCTTATGGTACTCATCCAGATATATTTAAACTTGCAGGCAGGCCATCTGGCATTTTAAGAGAAGACAGGGAATAAAAGTGAAGGCAAAATTGTAAAATTAGCTGGCTTAGGTATATTCAAGTTGCTCTGATGTCAGTGGTGAAACACAACTGGCAGTGAACACGTGGAAAGTACATGCCTACTCATCAACTGCACGAATGAAGAATCGTCATAGAATTGATCACGGCACACTGACGTGTTATCTAAACTTTCCTGGTAAACTAGCAACATCTACCACATCCTAGAATAAGTTTGTAGTTCAAAAGTAGTCAGAACTCTTGTACTAGACGCAATATCTTTTATTAGACCAACTAGATAGTTGCAAAAATAAAATAAAATTCTTTGCAAGGTTTTGGGCTCACATGCCTCAGGCAAAGGAGAATGCAAACATTATAAAATTTCTCCCAGGTAGAAATGAAAAAATATTGCACAGAACTGACTCTTTCAAAATCCCTACACACCCTCATGGCTGGCTGATCAGAAAAGGAAATTGCCTGGGCTTATCAAAGACTCCAGTATAGGGGAGTTAAAGCATTTCACTGTAACTTTAGAGGTGCAAATCTGACACCACTCCAAACTCATACAAGTCATCCCCAGGCAAAAGGGTATCTGCCCATCAGGCTAAGTACAAGGCAGGGGGAGGGGACGTCAGCCATGTTATTCCCCCTAGGCTGCACACTACACAAATCAGCATGCAGCCTAGCCCTGGGGGCCACAAACTAAGGTGGACCTTTTTGGGGGGGGGGGGTTAAATTTTTTTTAAAACATTTAGAGTCAAAGCTTAAAAAGAAAAGTCGTTTTACACGACAGGGAAGTGTTGAGCAGGAACGGTACAAGAAGTTGAAGGCCTTCTGGAGGACCTGACTGGGCTGATAGCTGGGTCAGTGGAAAGCCACCTTGATCAAATTAACCAGACCTCAAGCTGCCCCAGAGGCATCGCTCTCAAACCAAGAGCGGATATCAGACTTTCCTGTTCCTTACCGCTGACTCCCAACTACGCAGGTTACAACAGACCTGGAGGCGGGAAAAGCCACTCGCCCAGCTCAGGCCTCACGCAGCCTCATCGGCACAGGCGGGCGCTGCGTGGGAGGGGGCGGCGCCAGAGTCTCGCCGGCCTGGGCCCAGCCTCTGGGCCAGCGGTTCCCAAACTCTGGGTCGCGCCCTCCAATTGGGGGGGTTGTGGTGGGGAGCGAGGGGTCACGCTATGGAAACGGGGCCGTTAGTGGGGTCCTGCTGAGGAAGAGGCTGGGATGCGCAGCTCTGGGGCTCTCAGTTTCCCGGACTCCGCCTTGCGGCCCCTGAGGCCTGCAGCCCCGGCCCCCACGCCGCCCCCCGCCT